GCCGGTGAGATTTGAACAGCCGAACTGCAGAACTGCAGTCAGCTGAAGTAGCCTGCAGTGCTGCACTCTAACCACTGCGCCACCTCGGCTCTTGATGATGCCCAGCTTACCCTGTGCCCTATGGTTTGGCGCTTCTGCAGTCTTTCTCCAGCCTCCACAACCTCTCCCCAAGGGCAGAGTAGCGGATGAGGAGAGCTGGAGTAGGGCAGTGCCTGGCTATATGAGGAAAGAGGGGTGTTTCTGCTGGGCACAACGTCTCTGCTTGGGCATCTCTGCCCACCAGCCCCCCCCCCCCCACACACACACATGGAAGACAGCCTCTCCAGGGCTCCCTCTGCAGAGCTGCTGGCTTTCCTGCCACTCAGCCCCCCACCCCACCCCTTCTCTCTCATCCCACATCCTGCCTTGGGGCCTGGGAACCTGCTGCTGCCCCAGGGGGCTTTGCAGCCTCTCCGTACAGCCCCTAGAAGCCAGCAGGCGCTGCAAAAAAGGAGGAGGAGGAGGAGGAATGGGAGGCCTTGGGCGTGGCAGGCCGGGAGGCTGCTGGAACCGGAAGTGACCCCATGAACCCACTAAAGGGATAAAAATGGAGCCAGGGTCCTCAAGGATTTGGGGCACGGCAGCACCGAGGAGGAGGAGGAGGAGGAGGAGGAGGAGGAGGAGGAGAAAAAGACCTTCCCCCTCCCCGTTGAGACACCCTGGGGGCAGCTGGACTCTCTTCCAGAAGAGGAGGCTCCATGGAGTAGCATGAGAGGAGGGGCTCCCCCACACTGCTGGGGACTCCAGGTCCCTCCCTAACAGGCCTGCCTGGCAGGCTGACTCAACTCCTGCAAAAGCTGATGGGGAGGGGTGAAGCGGCAGCAAGGGTGGGGGAGGAAGCCCTGCTGCTTTCTCTTAGGCAGGGCTGACTAAAGCGGGAGGAATGCCCCCCACCCCTCCCAGAGCAGCCTATTCCCCGGAGGAGAAGGACAATGGGAGCTGGGGGTGGGGGGGGGGAGGATTTCCTGTTTATTGCAGCCACATCGCAATGGAGGTGGGCTGCATGCTCAGAGGGGGAGGGGAGGAGCGAGGCAGCCCCCCCCCTCCACACATTCCAGGCAAGGGAGGGGCATCCTGCCAGGTCACTGGCATGGGGGAGGCCCAAGAACTTGCAGAGGCGGGAGCCACACCGAGGGTCAGAGAAGCAGCCTCTTCCCAGGGCTCTGGAGAGGGCGCCTGGCAGGATACTGGCGCATGACACAACATGCTAGAGAGGAAGGGGGGGGGGAACGCAGTCCAACCCCAGGATGAAGCAACCAGGCCTGGGGCGGAGAGGCGCCTCCGAGCACCCAGACCGCAGGGTAGGAGAGGAGCACAGAAAGTCCAAGCAGCCCAATTCACAGCTTCACCTTCCAGGGTGGGGTTTTTGCACCCAGAGACTCGGCTCTCCTTTCTGGGCTGCCGGCCAGGGCATCCAGGGCCCCCCAGGCGGCTTCAGGGAAGCCTGAGCCAATCCCTGCTGAGCCATCAAGGCCTATGGGTCACTTCTGAAGGGATCCCGCCTCGAAACAGCAGAGCTAGTGGAGAGAGTGTGTCCCTGGTTCCACCACAAAACCGCGGTAGACTAAAGCGCGCTCGACGAAAGCGCATACGTGACGTCATCAAAGTGTGACGAAAACAGCACGCTGTGAGCGGTAAACTTAAAATTAACGCGTAAA